GTCGGTCGCCATGTACAGGCGTGTTCTCACACACACACACACACGCATACATGGCAGTGCCCCCCCCTCCTGGGCACAATGACGCTGATGTACTTCTTGTTTTTTTTTCATGCTGCTATTCCGAGAGTGACTGTTGGTAGCACCACTGCTCTTATGCTGTTCTGCCCTTCGGTACCGCATGTTCTTTGCCTTTAATGATTGTTTGAAAGCTTGTTTGGCTTGATGTTCTTCGTAGATTTTCGTACTTTTTATCGACCGTTGTCATTCTTCTATGTTCAGTTGCTTGATTGACTTTCATTTAGGACCCTCGAGCAAGGGACCGCAGGAGCGTGCGGACGGTGATCGTGATCGCCATCTTCGAGGGAGGGACAGGGGGAACCCACACCACAGGGAAACACGTGGGGAGGGAGGAGATAACGTGGGGTGGGGGGGGGGGAAGGGGGGCCTGGCAGCGGTGCATACATAATATAGGCTTCATCACGCTTGATCGATGGTTGAAGACGCTGGCTTTGAAGATGCAGTTGCTTAATGCGAGGATTTTATTCTGTCTGCTGCTATTACTGCTCTTCTTTTTGGAGTCCTGACTGTTGCTAGCCTGGCATGTCAAGAGCGCTCTGCCCCAGGCGCTGGCTGACAAGAAGACCCCGCAATTCGTCGCGCTCCGGAAGGCACGCTCACGGCCACCCGGGTGAGCGCAGAGCGACGGAAGGGCGGAGGAAGGGCGGATTGCTCTGTTCATGGCCTGTTTATTGGGATTGGTGACGGTTGCTAGGTCGCTGCATCGGCCGGAGGATGTACTCCGCTGTTGTGATGCTTTGTTCTGCTCAGATTTCTTGTCCTCGCTTGGCTGTCTGCTTGTTGCCCCTGCCAGGAACATGGAGACAAGTCCTTGGGAGACTCGACTGTCGGACAGCCCGACTGCTCAGCGAAGTTTCAGAACTGCGAGTCAGCTAGAGCTCGAGCTGGAAGGCGACATGAGCCGGAATCAACCAAGTTTGGAGTATAAGATCCCTCAGCCTTGTTCTGGCCAAGTCTCGAAACCTGAACATGTTTGAGAAATCCCGGGCCGGCGCATCCGGACGCTAGGCTTACTCACCCCAATCTTCGAGGGCTCGGGACTTTGCTGAGATCCACGCCTGAGACCCTGTCTGTAGTCCACAATTCCTGGAAAAGCACCTGGCTCTGGTCTTGCAGCTGAGACCTCAAGACGAAGCTTGTCTTGGGCCGAGGTGCATCGGCGGCATGCGTGGCATCAAGTGCCTGATCAGCGAGACCTCCTTGTTGGACAGCTCTGCCGGATGGTGGGGTGCAGTCGCCCAGACCCAGAACCAATCATGGGAGCATGGGCAGTTTCGTTTTTCGGAATCCGGTCATCATCCTGAGCTCAGGAGAGCACTTTGCTCGCTAAACCACCCCGGGGCATTTCAGGCAGCTGGAATCAGAGCTTCCGCCGGGTCGATCGAACCCATCCCATCCCGGATGCGACAAACCTGCAGCTTTTGCAAAGTTTACGGGTAGAGATGTTTGAAGGGTTGTGGCTTTGCAGGTTCGGGATTTGGGTTCGGTGAATGCGGATCATCGCCCATTCGCTTTGTTTCAGGAGGCTGGGCAACTGTCGTGTTGTAAGAGCATCCCGAGTCTAGGAGGACAAATGTCCCAAAGGGGTCCCTGGGCGGATTCGACTCACAAAACTCACATGGTGGAGCGAAAGCAGCGAGCTGTGCGCAGGATCCCATGGAGGGCATTCGCTACCGTGGCCGCACGCTCCAGGAGAGCCTGTCCCCACACAGCTTTTAATCGTGACTTCAAGGAGCTCTGAACCCTAAACCCTAAACCCGAACTGGGCCCTAACTCTGACTCGCTAAAACAGGAGTGCATGGACCAGCTGCCCAAGGCGCCAGGCAGCAAGATCGGCCTGCCCGAGGCCTGCGACGGGTCCTGCATCCCACCTGCCACTCCCCAGAAAGCCAGAAGCCAGGCCTCTTTCTGGCTGCTGCTGACAGACGAGATTCCGACGGATGCCGAGGTTAAGGCTCCATGTTGCACTCGAGGTTTCTTGGGAGTTCCGTGTGAGTCTTGTTCAAGATGGTTGGAGTCTTGAGCCTTTGCGACAGATTTCAGGCCAACAGCTGCGAGGTCTGAAGCTGTAGGTCGCATTGTTTGCTTTGATGTCGAGCCGATGATGGCTTCTGAGCTCTTGGAAGGAGATGCTGTAGAGTGTAGAGCATGCATTGAATCATGTTGCAACTAGGCGCGGAACTACTCATCCGAGCTTCCCGAAGCTTTACCCCGGAATACACGCATGCTCAGTCGTGTGCTGCAGAACCATATCTTTGCTAGGGTCTGCAATTACTCAGATGCAGGCCCTGAACGAAGAGCTGCACAAACGGTCTGCGCTCCCTGCCGACGTCATCAAGCTGGTTGACAGCATCCCGAAGGATTTCTTCCAGTTGCGTCCATGTTGAAACTGGTGTTCAACTTTCATATTGTTTAGCTCGGCCTTGATGTTCCCACGGCCAGAGCATGCTGCACAGAGTTTGATTTGGATGTTGCATCGCTTGCCTGACTTTTCATACTTATCGTTTCCTCCTTATCGTTTTATTTCTACTGCAGTCCTATTAGCATGCTATGAACACTACGCCTTCTACTCTTGTGAGCGTCATTGCTACATTGAGCAGTAAAAGTGGCGCACCAGCTCTGTTCAGCATTGCTAGTTTGCACTGATGATGATGATGGTGATGATGATGATGAGTAAACTTATTGTTGTTCCCAGTGGTTGGGCAGTCTATTGTAGTTAGAGCTGCAGTTGCTGGATTGCACTGGCTCGTGTAGCTAAGTGTGCTTGTCCCGTTCTTGCGGTCATCGGTACTGCTCGCACCGGCACTACGGTTTTCGTGTGGACAGCGTTAGTCAACGGTACCGTTAGTTTCGGTTTCTTTGGCCGAGTTTCCTTCGCCGGCTCTATTGCACTACGGCTGCTGCTGGTACTGAAGCATGTCATCAGCAAGGGAGCTTGTATGAGTGTTGCATTGCAACGTGTTGAATGCTTATTGAGTCTGCAAGACTGCTGTCATTCTGCTTTTGCTCTACTGCTGTTGTCACCGGATTACTAGTATTTCATTGAAGCGTTCTTCTTGCGTTCAGACAAGGTACTGCTACGACCATGAAGAGTATTGCAGAGTGCTTCTTCTGCGAACTACCATCATCGTGTCTAACGCCACCGTCTAGAGATTCATGGCAAGTCCGGGTGTTGCGCTGCAGTGATACAAACAGCGTAGACATGAATAGAGCAATAATCCTCACAGGCGTTTTCCATCCCAGAGTCGATTGCAAGACTCACGGGGGCTTCGGCGATTCGGCTATTTATTCACTCTGTCAGACTGTAAGAAGTCGGAACACTTGTGGAGGTGTGTAGTTCCCTGACAGATGCCAATTGTCTCGGCAGCAGAAGACGTGAGAATGGAGGCGATCATGTGGAAGTTCCACCGGGAAGCATGACAATGTTCATGCGGGCAGGACACCCACCCGATGACGCAGCTCGCCATGGGTCTCCTGGCCCTGCAGCCCACAAGCGAGTTTGGGAAGGCGAGATGGGTATCTGCTGGCTGCACGTTCTGAGGGTGTCGAAGCAGGTAATGTTTTACAAAGGCTCGCTCTGTTTCCATGTCGTCGTGCAGCAGGCATTCCCGCTCAGCCCGGCCGTACTGCATTTTTTCGGCTGTGTGTAGCTGCTCCTTTCAGTACTGAGAGCTGTAGCTGCTTCAGCCTACCAGTGGTTGCAGAAGTCTCCATGCCGCTGGTGCTGAACTACCGTCTCACTTTCGTTGATGCCACAGACAGCGAAGAGGCAGCTCAGGATGTCCAAATTCGACGGGCGCTGACGCCGCCGCCTATGCGTCCTGGTTGTCTGAGTCACCTGGGTGAAGATGCACTTCCAGAAGAGGTAGAGGCGGCTCGCTGTCGAGACTACTTGAACGGCTTGAGCAAGAACGCGGGCTCGTTGCCCACAGTCCTGAGTCCAATCGGATGCAGTGTGAAAGCAAGGATGCACCTTCAGATGCTCCAAAGGTCTCATCGGAATCGGTGAATGTTGGCAGCTTGGGCCATCCCATCGCATGCCGCCGCCCCTGTGTGCACATGATGGCGCATCGTCACTGCCGCAATGGCAGTGTTTGCGGCTATTGCCACTTCCCACACCTGCGGGAGGCCAGACTAAAGCAAATGAAGGTCGTGTCAGCGTGTGTCAACTGATTTTTAGCTGCCAGGCAGGGCTAGGTAAGTCAACCCACGGTTGTTGAATTATTTATCTACCAGCGGCTGCAGTCCTTGAGTCAGGTCAAGTTGGACAGGGAGCAGCGGGCCATGGTCCATCAGATGCCGCATCGCGACTTCTTGCGGATCGTAGTCGAGGTGTTGAAGACGAAAGCAGGCGAGGTCGCCAAGCCTTCCGTCTGGGAGGCCGTGCACCTCTTGGAGGAGGAAGCGCGGTTTGCGGGAGTGGTTGGAGCCCAGTCGGATGTGAAAGCCATGAAGAAATTTAAGAAAGGCCTGCAGCATCTCAATATTTTGAGCTTGCTCGCGTTGGCCAAGCGCAGGTGCCGGGACAGTGTCTGTGATGAGCTCACGCTGCTTGCTGCAGAGCTCCGTTTTCAGGCATGACTCGACCATTAGTGAACAAGAGAGTCTGCCATGCTCATGGCAGAGAAAGACAGCCCTTCAATGCCCTCTGCAGAATTGGACAGGGCAAGGCCTCAAGGCAACTGTTTCGTTTGCAGTCCTCTTGGAGCCTGCTAATTCAGGATGTCGAGCACATTGCCCTTGCTTGAAGTGTTCGTGCCCTGGCGCGCTGCATGAATGGTATATACTAATATGTATATATATATATATATCCTGCAACACTGCGCAGAGATCCGAGCAATGAAGTCGCGGCATCATGCCTCCCTCCTCTCAGGTTTTGCGTCACGGCATTTGAAGCTACAAGATAACAACAGGGTTACATATCTGAAGAGACTGAGGCTCGGTCGTCGCAGTGCGGGTGGTGTGTGCTGTTTCAAGTCGATCAGGCGCCGTCAAACTCGGCTGATTTTGGTGGGAACCAGGGATCGCAACTCAGGTCCGTCATGTCAAGAGCTACCATGCATCTTCCGGCTATCTTGAATGTCGTGAGACATTGAGTCTCAATTTGAAGCCATGGCCTCTCCTTCCGCCCTCACAGAATTGAAAGGGGCGTGGAGTGTGGACGTGAGCAAGACGGGTCTGCTCCTGGGTAGAGATACTCGAACGAGGACATCACCGTCACATGTTACTTTGCTACATTCATACTGCTGCTTGCCTGGGAGCAGACCCAACCCGACAGCCAACTCTGGCGGATGAACGATGCAATTTTCAGCTCAGGCTGTGAAACTCGGGGACATTTGATGGTCCGTGCACGTACACGATATTGTATGGAAGTATTGTATGGAAGTTGAACAACCCGTTCACAGATTTGTGTCTCAAGTGAGTCTCAAGCCTGCATCGAATGGCATACTTTTGCCTGCAATACATGGACACAGTTTGATGATGATGTGCGCCGAGAGACATGAGGAAAAGTGGACAGGCCAAGGTGGTTGTATGTGGTCTTGTATGTCACGTCCCTGAAGTCTTCCGTGGCAAAAGCAAGGCCGCGGCGGATGTTATCTGCGTGTGTGTGTGTGTGTGTGTGTGTCTGTGTGTGTGTGTGTGAGGTGATATGTCGGAGGTCGAAGCATTACATTGTGCAAGAGACTTCTTGAGGAGCTTCCACATCAAGCTATGCAACACAAACTTGTCAACTACGAAAAGAAAGCCCCCTTCATGCCAGAGTTGAGCTGTCAGGCCTACAGGTCAGGAAATCTGAAGAAGACGGAGTACTGGCGTGGAGCCCAACTAGCCGCCATGATCCAGTCTCCCCTGTTGCTGTGAGCAGTTTCAGGCATTTCAGATTCCCTCGCGACATTCCGGTGCGTTGCTTTGACTTGGAGCCGGTTTGGCCGAGGCAATACACACTGGAGGACGCCCCGGCCTCAAAAAACCAATGTTTCCCGAGGGCAGCGAAGAGGTCGGAGAAGTTGCGCAGCCGTCGTGCTGTTACAGATTCTGCTCACGGCATCTCCGGAAGCTGTTCGCCTGACGCTCGAGGCCTTGTCCCTGGTGGCGAGAGTCCCCGTCCTTGCTGCTCGTATCTTCTGCAACGTCTTCAAGAACGGCCAGCATGCAACGGCCACAGCAATTGGCAGTGTTGAGTTTGCCTTCGAAGACAAGCATCCAGGTAACCCACTACCTTCTTTTCTCCAGCACAGGGCGGTGTTCAACGTACGGCAACTCGTGCAAAGCTTTTTTGGGCTTTGCTGAGATCCCTAGCGACCCTTCCCTGGACTGGGCGGGCAACTACGCACAGATGCTGGGCCTGGAGCTTGGCTGGAGCTGACTGCGATCACTTCGATTCAGGACTTTCGGGCAATCTTGGCTTCCTGGAAGTACCAGGTCTTTAGAGCCGCCTATGTCCAGTGTAACATGCTCGAGGTGTCAACGACAGCGACAAGTTCAAAGACATCACGCGCTTGTACCTGATGCTTCATGCTGATCACGAGGCCAAGGGGCCAAGAGCGAGCATGTAACTGGTAGATTACTCGACCTTGGGCTTGAATTCATCGGCTTTGCTTTTCCAATGTCGTTTGCAGATGGCTAAGAGGCGGGCAACGTCTCGGCCCACACTACGCACCTCGTGGGTAGTGCTCTGAGTGATCCGTGCGCCCCTCAGAGCTTCGGGGCTTGCGTTCCTGCCGCGGAGATATGAGGCTGCTGCAGCAGGATTGCCCACTGGGCGGTCTGCCTCAGACTACACTGGGATCCCATATTCGCCGCATATTCAGAAAGTAGCGGCAGCAGATCATTTAGGAAGCTCGTTCCAGGTACTACTCCTTTGCGGCTGGCGTTTGCGGTTTGGCTGCGTCCTCACGCGGCTAGCAGTGCTGTATGCAAATCACCAGTGAACTTGCCTGAACCAATGCAAGCCCTGCCAACGACACTGTGGTTTAGCTACTCTGCTCTGCAGGAGCCAGAGCATTCAAATAAACCCTGGACCGGCAACCCAGCCTTGCACAGGCGGGTCCACTACATGGCCTGGCTAACCAGGCCCCCAAGTGTGGCCTAGAGATTCTCAAGGGCTCTTGGGGAAGGCAGAGCAAGGTGTCCGCAGGGCTGCAAGCGTATCTGGCACATTGATCTGGTCCGAACAGGAGTGCCTTCGGTGGTTGAAGAACACGCACGAGACGCTGAAAGGACGGAGACCTCAGCACGTTTCTGCGATGCCGGTGTGGGGTGACTCTTTGCAGGAATCCACTCTGCTCCGCTAGCCGCTTGTAGCTTGTTGCATTCCACACTTGGAAGATCAGTTGGCCGTCCCTCGCGGCTTCCTCTGCAGCTTGAAGGACAGGAGCCAACAGTGGAGCTGTTGACTTCCTTCGCCAAGGCGCGAATCGCCTGGAAACTATCATAGAAGCAAAGTGTTCCGTAAAGGGGGCTGCCAGGAGCAGGAGCATGTGAAGGTGAGAAAGAGGACGAGGAGGAGGAGGAGGGTGAGCAGGAGGAGGAGGAGACTGTCATCGTTGTGTTTACAGTCATATGTTCTACTGTTCTATCGCTGTAGAAAATGTAGTTGAAGCAGCGCAGCAGCGAGTGGACATGTTTGCAAGTTTTGTAGGAAGGGCAGCCAAGACTCAATCGTTGTCACCGTCAATACTATCTCGTCGGGCGACGACAGCAGCTCTAGAGGAGTTGGTGATCGCTAAAGACAGAGTGGAGCGCTCGACGGACAGCAGCTGTCCATCGCGGTCGCGATGTTGATCATCGAGTCGCAGTATGAATGAGCGGTAATATTGCTGAATCTGGGAACCCGACTGATCGCAAGAGGCAGGTTTTTGGACATCAGAAGACTATCAGGTTTTTGGTGATGCTTTTTTCGGCCGGAGCCTGGAACTGCGAAGGCTTCGATCGATTTGCAATTCGTGTGGTTAAAGTGTTTATTGCAAGATTCAGCCTGGGATGTGCACACGCCCCTAAACTACGCACCGGCCAGAGCGTTGATATGCCCGAAATGCTTCACACTCCGCAACACAAAACCTGCTTCGTTCTTGCGAACCCCCTTATGCTCCTCGTCCTCGATCCCAGTATGTAACCATGGGGACAGTAGCGGAACTGTGGCAGACCCCAGCCCAAACTCCAGCAAACCCTCGCAGAGCCTCAACCTTGAAAGTTCCCCCTCGGGAGGCCCCAAGCCTCTAGAGGCTTCTGAGGCGTCTTGCCCTGTGCCACCGATTTGTTGAAAGCCCTCGTTGTTTGTGAATGGTCTAACCCCGAAAAGGAGCTGGTTTGGGTGGTTGGCCGCGCATTAGAGCCATTGCTGCATGTCGCCAAAAAACGACCGAGCACTCAATACATCTAACTTGCATAGCATTCACTGCTGCAGCGCAACATCACCCTATAAACCCATGACTGGACAGCAGGCGGAAACCGGGGGCCATAAACCCCGTAAACCCTAAACCCTAAACCCTGAACCGGAATCCTTCCAGGAGACCTTGGCTTCGGGCAAGGTGATTCCTGGCTTCGGCCACGGTGTGCTCCGAAATACCGACCCGCACCCTGCCCAGAATTGCTTGGGGGGAGTTCAGAAGATAAGGGGCTCCTTTCTTTGGGGGGGTCGTCGTAATAAGGATTTTGATATTCAGAGTCAGGGCTTGCACGGGCCTTGATTCTATTTTGGCATTTCCCATAATATGCTGTCATAGTCGATCATATTCGCATGTGCTGTAATCCTATTTTGGTTACATTATTTTGTATTTGTTGTGTTGTGTGATGTTGAATTGCGGTTTCATGTTGCACCATGTGGTGCTGCGTGGTATTTTGTCGCATTCTGCATCATGTTTTGTTTTCATGTGAACAAATTGTTATCTTACAAGCTAATACTGTACCACGCTATTTAATATCTCATTTTCAGTGTTTTGTGTTGTGCTATGTGATGGCATACCAGGTCATACTGTGTTACGTCATGTTATATCGCGTCATGCAGAATTGTATCATATCGCCTTATGCAATACCGAACTGTAGCAAATCATATCAGAGTATTATGACATCACAGGTCATATCATATCATATCATGTCAGCCCATGTCAAGTCAACTAATATCATGACATGCCGAACCAGGTTTGAATTCTACTATAGTATGTTTTTGCCACATCTCAGCATACTATACTATTCTATACTTACTGTATCATGTTAAGGATATGGTATCTTGCATCATGCGATATGAGGTCTTTCCATGTCATATCATGGCACCCTGTATCGCTATCTATCTTCGTACCATACCTTATCGTAACATGTTGTATTGCATCGCATCTTTTTGAGCATTTCGCGATACTGTGTACTGCTATGTTAGTTCAGGTTCGCTTAGCATCGTCACGGTCGCCATGAGACTTTGCCTCGAAGGGTTTGGGGTCGAGGGTTCTATGGTAACAGAATATGTTGTATCATATTCTGCTTTATAGCACAATAGTATTGTGTGATATTATGTTTTATTCTATTCTCGCCTCTTCTCTTCTAGGTCCAAGCCGCGGGGATCCGGAGAGTGGGGAGCGAGGTGAGCTGTCACCCGACGACCCCATGCTGCTGCTAATATACTATACTATATTAAGATATACAGTAATATTACTCAGTAATATATATATATATACTATAATGTAATGTTATCAGTTTTGCTCTTTTTCGGCTGTGGGCTGTTGCAAGCCTGAGGCGGTACACGATCCAGCGCCAGTTCGTGCAGGTTCGGCATGGGGCCAGGGTCGGTCCTAGATTTGGGCCGTGTGCACTTGGGCCCTTGCTCTCAGAGCCGGCTTCGGGGAAGGGTTCGTAGAGGAATTCAATGTGACTCTGGATAGTGGCAGGAGAACTTCCCAGATGATCCGCTGGCAAAGCTGGCAGAGGTTTGCTTCCAGGCCAGGGAGGGCAGTGGCAAAGGTAGGGGCACGGGCACATGTCCAAGGAGCGGTGCGGCCTTCACTTTATTTGCCGAACCACGAAGCGGTGTCCGACAGCTGAGCAGCTGGTCCTCAGGCGATTCCTCCAGTGCTGGAGGCGACAGGCAAGGTGAAGAGCCTCGGATCAAACGTGTCCGGGGAATTTCGGCTCGGCCTTTGCCGGATGCGGCCAGTTGGGCTTTACAGGAGCTTCACAGCTACACAGCTTGAGCGCAATCGGGGCTCTGTGCAAGCTTGACGCAAGGGTTGAGACACTGCTGAGGAACCCGTGGCCGAACGTGGATGCCTTGTCGGGCACCTGCATGCCGGTGCCTGAGTCAGCAGCTGCAAACCCCAGCAAAGGCATCCTCAGAGGGCCGTGGGATCTTGGTAATAGTGCCTCTGATGGGCATTTTGTGCCCACCTGGAACGTAAGACGGACGCAAATGAATCTGTACACAAATCTAGTAGTGCACTGATCGGAGCACGGAGCGAAGCCAAAGGCAGTACTACGGCTTGAATCAGGAGGACTACTACACCGCAGCGCCCACAGTCTGGCAGGGTTGAGATTATTGTGCTAACTTCTTTCACGAATCTTGGGCTTCGGCCCGTGGTCTTTTCCCGGTGAAGTGTAGGCCTGATGTGACCGGTCTGATCAGGTAAGCAGCCGTGCAAACAACTTGATAGTCAACAGACTCAGTGGCTTAAAAACTTAAAAGCTTCACGCTGTCATGAAGCTACGGAGGCAGAAGCTCGCACTCCCAAGGTGGTCTTCGCCGTCTCGAGAGCCCTGGGTTGCTCCTCCAACCTCGTCTGGCCCGGGCCCTGCGCAGTTTAGGGTTTAGGGTTGCAGGCTGCAGGCCGTTTGAGTCTGCAAGCTTTGAGAGACGAGTCAACCCGCCGACCCACATCCAGACCTGGGCTCCGAAGGCCACACTGTCGCAAGGAAATCCTACACCGTTTATTGCCAGATGGCTCCAAACAATTGTTTCTCCAAGGCCCTTTTTGTGCACTGGCTTCTTTGTCTAATTTGCGCTTTTCACCGCCGCTATCAGCGCAGTTGCAACGGATGTTGTGTCCACCGTTGGGAAACTTCACCATATTCGTTCTCCACGATCTTCCGATAGTTGTCGGAGTCTGGAACGAATGAGCTCTGTTGGCCGCCCAACGGCAGAGTGTGGATAGTTGTGTTCAGGAACCGGGACGAGGACCCGCTTGTGCTGACCTGAGGTCGCGACTGATGGGGCTGCCTATCGAGAGGCCCTCCAGCGAAGTTCAAAACGATGGTCTGGTCGTTTGAGAGATGCTGCAGTTGGCACCTCTAGCCTCTACCTGGCCCTGAGCCAGACTATGCTCAGAGATTTGAGACGGCATTGAGTCCAAAGTCTGGTGCTTGTGCTTGAAGAGAAGGTGGTCTTGCCTTTGCCGACAGGCCGAAGTCCGTCACACTGGACTGGCTCAGCCAGAACGTGAAGTGAACTCTGAGAGCGCCAACTCTTTTAACAGGGCCCGGCCCGGGCCAGGGAGCCCTCCCAAAACTGGCCACTGCCCAGCTTGGCCAGTATGGCAAAGAGGCAGCTTGCTCGTTCCTTCCCACTAAAGTGATGATAACGTTGTGCCACATAAAGGCCAGAGTTTTTTTGGCTCTCTTAGGTTTTTGGGTTGTAGCGAAAGCCATCACAACCTAGGATCCCGTCGGCTTTCCTTGAGCTCTGTGTACCTTGTATGATTCCATTTTGAGCCCGACTTGCTTGCAGAGGCTGCACTCTCAAGTCAGCTCCCATCGGTTTTAATTCTCAGCCACTTGTTTGTAGATTGTTCCAAATGCGGCGAAATATGCAGCTGGACCGGGTGATGGAACCGAGTTGGCCATGTTGCAGCACTGATGCTGATGCACGGATCCGTGTACCAGGCTTGCTTCGGCACTGTCGATGACTCTTTTGCGCTAACTGTCTTGAAATGAAGGAACTGTTGAAGGTTGAAGTTGCTGCGTGGGATATGCTGGCCATGTTGGATCAATACTTGCCACTGGATGCAGTCACCTGTGCGTGTGACTCCTCGCAAAGGCGGGAGTTCCAGATTGTCGGTGGTATAATAATAATCATAATAATAGTAATAATAATAATACTAATACTAACAATAATAATACTAATACTAACAATAATAATAATACTAATAATAATAATAATAAATAATAGTGATAATAATAGCAATAATAATAATAGTAATAATAATAATAATAGTAATAATAATAATGAGAGAGAGAGAGAGAGATATATATGTATATATTTGCATATATGTGTATATAGATAGATAGATAGAGATAGAGATAGAGATAGAGATAGAGATAGAGATAGAGATATAGACATACACAAAACTGAAAGTCGCTGCTGTTGGCTGAACAATCGTCTGCTTCTTAAACATTTTCCGATGTCAATGTGTCTTCGATGGGATGCTCATTTGGAGTTTTGTTCTGATTGCTGTCCGAACATTCGTGATCCTCATTCGCTGCCGCTACAGCCGACATCCGTTGTCGAGCCGTTCCACCTACCGCAGGTACATCATGCTCAGTTTAGTTCGCCTACGAGACTGCATCCACATCCTGACTGCATCGAACTGTAAAAACCCCAAGCCCTGCATATTTTTAATTCAGGCCTGAAGAACCAAAGAGATATTTTAACTCCCAGACCCCGAGACCCCCAGGCTTGAAGCGCCTGGCCCCTCTTAGGAGCCTTAGGTCTTGGTCCTAAGCTCCGACTCTTAGAGCTCCTCAACAGATTTGGCTTTTCTTTGGGGCTGAGGGGCCATTGCCAAAATATTGAGCCTAGGAGTCTGGGGCGTCTCTGGCTCATGGCAGAGGCTGAGCGGTTGAGGCTCAAAAACTGTCTGACAGGTCGGGGCTTCATCAGATGGAGGAGGCAGAGGCACAGTCGCGCCACACGTCTGTCGAGGTCTCATAGATTTGGGTACCCAGCAGACCGCGTTGTCGACGGTGTCTTAACGTCTTTGCTCTCCGGTGTTCCACATGCCCAGCCTTGAACCACCTTGCAACCTCAGTGTCTCGGAGTTCCAATATTCTCAAGAAACTGATAGCAGCGCCGGCCCCGCGATGTTTTTGGATCAGCTTCAAGTCAAGACTTCTTCGGCCAGGCCACCCGAGCGGCGCCTCGTGTGGCAGTGCCCCGCGCGCCGTCCGGGTGCGGCTGTTCTTTCAAGTTTGCCCCTTTGCAGTGAGTAGCTCTGGGGACACTTGTGAGAGCCCCATACTTTGTGTGCAAACACTTCTTCATGCTGCAAGAGGTACATAGTTTAGAAATTGAGAGGATGTTGGCACTCAGGTCATCGCAGTCATTTGGTGATGAAAAAATGACAGGACAACCAGCAACACCAACGCGACTTCACAGCCATCGCAACAAGAAGCGAGACTCACATCTGTGTTTGTCGTCATAGTGGAAGTAGTTTCTGGAGCAACAGTTGCACAAGTCGTGGTCACAGGCTTATGACAACGTCAACAGTATCGATCATGATACGGTTGAGTGACTTCGAAGTATGTTGCTACAGGCAATAGCGGCACATCAGTTGCAACATAGAGAGCACACTCATGCTGCTACAGGCATTAGTGTTGGTGACAGTGAAGTTAACAACAGCAATGGTCAGACTGGCGTTGAAAATCATTGAAGTAGCGTGTTGTGCAGTAAAGAAGTTGTTGGTAAAGGCAGTGGTTGCCACGTTGGCAAAGCATACTCATGTCACAAGCGTTTAGTCATCGGGATAACATTTGTCACACTTGTAATGACGCTGGGGAATGGAATTGTGATGACATTGGCAGCTAAGGAAGTCGAAAAGGTGACGATTAGTTACTTGGCATGGGTCGCTTTATGGTGACATCCATACCCATGGACACGTAGTGATCATGCGCAGTGTGCACATACTTGCGACAGTGTTGGTGGTGCTAGTAGTTTCCAAACCATTTCACTACTGGTGGTATTCTGTTTCTTCATGAAGAAGAGACAGCAGATGAGAGTCGTGATGATCGGTGAGCACAATGCCACTGATATTGTCATAGTATTGCAGGTCATGCTGATGAGCACGATAGTGGTAGTAATGTCTATAGTTACTTTGATGGTGCTGAAGACGAGGAGGACAAGGATGAAGAAAAGACGACACGGATGTTTGTTTGCTCTTAATGCTCATCTTTCGCCCGCGACCCTCATCATTGCAAGCAGCCTCATCAACATACTCGCTGTAGTCGTCTTCGTCTTTGTCATCGTCCTCATCATCACACTCTTATTCATTACGATGCATCATCATCATCATTATCACCATCATCGTCATCACCATCATCACATCATCGCCATCATCATTGTCCGCATAATCCCCATCATCAACAACGCAAGCTCCGCGGTATCACCATCGTTTCCGGGGCCAGGCCACGGCCAGCAGCAGGTCGCAGGCGGCCCTGCCTAGCCTCCACCTCAGGGCCAGGGAGACAGTGCGATTTAAAGCAAGCATGAGAACTTCGCGTGGCTCAGCCTGAGTCGGGGCCTGTCGTTGGATTCCTAGACTCTTCGCGATGACTGGGAAGAGCATACGCAAGGTGGAGGCTGGAGAGGCAGGAATCAGGAGGCAGAAGCTGTAACCCTCTCTGCGGCACGCAAGCTTCCGTTGCCTTCCGTTTGCCCGCGACCTAAGCGGACCAACAGTTTTGGTAAGAGCACCAAAAGAGAGCTTAGAAGAGTTTTCCTATGCTGCTCATACTAGTTTCGTCGTAGCACGGTCTTGAAGACTTGGCGGCGTACGCTCGTGGGGTGTTTTCTTCAACAAGAAGCAGCAGCAGCAGAAGCAGCCGCAGGAGGAGGAGGATAGTAGCAGCAGCAGGAGTGGTGGTGGTAGTAGTAGTAGTAGTAGTAGCAGCAGTGGTGGTGGTGGTGGTGGTGGTGGTGCTGGTGGTGGTGGTGGTGGTGGTGACTAATGTGTAGTGCTAGCAGTCGTCGTCGTACCGCCGCTGGTTGGGATCCCCTGGCTCAACATTGGGGTTCAGCATGCACAGGTCGGTTTTCGAGATGCAAACTTTGTGGCTTGCTCTGGGGTCAACAAGCAAAGGTGGGTTAACCACACAGGTCGGTTTCCGACATGCAAACGGAGGGGGTCGTGGTAGATGGTAAAATAGTAAAGTGGTAAATAGTAGGAAATAGTACAGTACAGTACTGTTGTAAATAATGAAATCCTGGCTCAACCGGCACAGGTGGGTTTCCGAGATGCAAACCGTACTGGCTCAATATGCCATGCCAGGTTCGGTTTTCGAGATGCAAACTGCTCCGTGCCATGCATCTCGGGCGCGCACTTTGCATCTCGGAAACCCAACCTTGCATGTCGAGCGCCACAGTCCCCTTTCGCATCCTATCGCTGGTTGGCGGCTTCGGATATGTATTAATCTTCTGCATTGGAAATTGTGCCGGCAGTGTCAGTGTCATGAAGTTAATGGGCAGGTGGTTAGCAAATCGCATACTTATTGTAGCGATAGCTAAGATGCTGAAGTC